CTGTTAACATATTTCTGGATTCCTAATTATCCTCACTGAAACGTTTCACTGTAACACCGTGGTGTGTTAATCAGAAGAACAGGTTTGTGTGGTTTCTTAATTTCCCCAAAGAATGGTTACGCTAGTTACATTAAAATCTTATCGGTCCTTTGCAGTGAAACCTGAATTGTCCCGCTTTGTCATCCTTAGAATAAGAGTGAGATCTGAGATTGTGTTATTTTATTTCCCGTCTCTGATGATACCACTAAATCCCAATGCAGATGTTGCTTTAGAACTGACTAATGAGGAATGCTCTTCATAAATTTATCTGGCACAAAGTTGCATTTTATTTGCAGTTCTGTAGTTACACAATGGACCCTTTATTTTAATTCTGTGACTCTTTGTATGGATGATTCAAGTATGAAAATCTTCTTGATCTCCTTATTTGTCCTGTCGTATAAAATTCAGCTTTGTTCTTTGAACAGAGGATTGTTGAACACTGAATGTAGGGATTTTTTAGATGATGCAGTAGGTGACTTAAGAAGGAATTGGTGATTTTCCATATTGGACAGTCTTTCCAGTATTCCAGGAAGTCAGTAGCCTCAGAAATTAATTCTTATCACAGAGTCTCTGCATTTCTGTATTTTAGAACTCATGTCTGTCTTCTAAAGTGATTTAAAAATGATACAATGTACTTTGCATTTGTGTTTGGTGTTGTGGTCTTTAATTCCAGAAAAAGAGAGAAAAATAGGAAAAGTGACAGCACTGAATTGGAGTGTTCTGAAACAGGAACATGATGATAATAAATTAATTTTACAAACTGTTTTAAATTATTTTTCCCCACTGCCCAAGAGCATGTGAGTGGCAGTTCCTTTTAAAAACTGGCTGGTTTTAAAGCGATGAAAGGTCCTAGGATGCCTTGTCCTAGGATGTTTGGACTTTATATAGGATGCTGTTGTACATATGCAATTATAGATGTTCTTGGCTTCGCCGCCAGAAGAAAGTGGGGCCCTGCACTGCCTGAACAAATTGAATTTGGTTTTAGTTACAGGGAAAAAGCTGCTTCCTCTTAGCAGGACTTCAGAGATGCTGCTCATTCTTCTCTAACTTCACGCTGATTTTTGCAATAGGGTTTCATGCTCTGTAAGAGGTTTCTCTAGGGTAGCCATTCTTACGTAGCAGAGTTTGTGATGGAAATACAATTAACCACCCACTTTTCCACACTCCCAGGGAAAAAAGAAAAATTGCTGTGATTACCTTCTTTGGGAATAAACTTTATCAGAGCTGGAATTGCTTAAAGGAAAAGTCAGGGAAGAGAAAAGGAGTTCTTCAACGTTTTATTTTTAGAAAGTTGTAAATATTTATTTCTGTTTGCTTGCAGTTGATACAGATCAGGTCACTTTGTCCAAGCTAGAGTATTCCATGCCAAAACTGTGTTTCTAATATGAATGGCCAGTCCTTGTTTGAAAAAGGTATTTGGCTCCATTCATTGACTCCTTCGTGTCTGTACTTTCCAAGGTATCAGTAATGTCTCTGTGTAAAGGGAGCATTAGTGCAGGTGAATGCTGCAGTCAGTCCTATGAAATGAAATAGATTTTGAAACCTGAAGAGCTTAAAGTAAAGCAGAATTTTACAGGTGATGACATCCCATACACATTTCTTTGTGGATGCTCTGAGGCACTTCAGCTAAAGGTTTGCTCTTTGACTTGAGAGGTTTCCGGTTTTAATCTGCTTCATAAATATTGATGAGAAAAGTGAGAGATAGACTGGGAGATAGTAACAGGAGTCACATATCAGGGTGACGTGTGGGGATTTTTAGCGCTCATTAACAAAACTTGGTTTGCACGCTTGCAAGAGCCACATGGGCCTCATCAGCCTGACACAGTCCTAGTTTGGTTTAATCCATTATTTCACATGTTAGGGTACAATTTGCTGGAAAAGCAGATGGTGCAGGCAATTTTATTTCCTGTGCAAAATGTAGAGGAGGGACACAGGAGAGTCTGAGCTGCTGGAAGTTTTTAGAGTTAATGTAAAGGGGAGCCTTTTGATTTTTGTTGATAATGTTCCACTTTAATGCGGCTCTTCTCTAATCCAAGTGTTAGAAACACTTAAATGTTGGCCTAATTGAAGAAGTCGGTATGATGGAGGTGAGTACCGGGATGTGCACAAAGGGACGGTGTTAGGAAGGTGAGATCACTAAAGTGTGGGGAAGAAAGACTTTTGTCTTAGGAAGAATAAATGTTCATTTATGGTCAAGTCTGGACCCCAGCTGAATGGGGAGCCCTGTGGACAGCAGACCTGGTCCTCTGAAGAGCTGGGAACTTTTATTTCTCTTTGCTGCCGCCATGTGACAAAAGGAGAGAGCGTTGGTGGTAGGCTGTGCACAGACCTGTCTGCCCTCCTGGACGAAGGAGAGCTTCTCTGCCTGTCCTCTCCTGGGTTGATCAGACACTGAACTGTTCATTTAACACAAGGTAGCTAATGCACAGCAATTGGCCCAGGGTGGAAACACATCAGGGACAGTATTTGTAGAAAAAAAACAAGCTCACCACAGCCTCAAGCTGCCGGTGGGACATGTGTTGGAATATCTTTTATGTAATAAACGTAGAACAAGCCCTCAGGAATACACAAAGATTCAAAATATGGTGCTTTCTCTTCTAGACTGCTTATTTGGTTTCTCTTCTGGATTGCTTATATTGTTTCTCACTCCTCCCTCCCCTCTTGTCAATAGATTTTTAATATGATGTTACAGAGTATGTTATCTAATTCATTAATTGCTAGAAACTGGTATATTATGCTTTTAACAAAATGTTTCAATGTTGTTGCCAATTTAAAAAGTCATTAAGTACTTTAAAAAGCTTAGCAAGGTCTGCATATGTAATATATTAACTCCTACTGCTTTGTGCTTGGTTTGTGTTGTGCTTTTATTTGGATATGAGAGATTTAAAAAGCTTAACAAGGTCTGCACATGTAATACATTAATTCCTATGATTTGTGTTGTGCTTTTGCTTGGCCATGAGAGATTTCTTTACCCTGTTCAGTATTGGGATGACAACTAAAATCTAAGTGGTTCTGTACATTTCTGCAGGAATTAAGGTATGTTACTGTGGAAGAGAAACATGGTTGAAAGGTGCAAATCACTTCTGTGATACAGCTCATTGCCTCTGAAAATAGCTTCAAAAGACTACGCTTGTGATAATGCGTTCTCTTGCTGTCTCTTGCTGACATGCCCAGAATACTTGCTATTAATTTTCTCTCACTCTTCAGATTATCACTCCATGCCGGAAGCTCATCCTTTGTGCTGATAACAGAAAAGAGATGGAAGATTGGATTGCAGCACTGAAAACTGTACAAAACCGTGAACATTTTGAGGTAATAAGAAAATGTGTTCTTCTGCACTCTGTGCCTTGTCTCCTAAATAACAGCTTGTTTTGAGTTTAGTGTCAGGTTCTAGTGAAGTTAATAGAAGTCGTTTTGATTGACTGTAATGGACGTATTGTTAGGCCTTCTGTAAAAACTATCCCAAATATACTGAAGTGATTCTCCAAAGAATGCTTGTGGCTTTGTGTACTCTCCCTTGGTAACTTTAAGAGCACTTTTTGGAATACAGGTTATTTATGAAACACAGTTCTCCTCCCATTGTCTTTCCACTCTTCTGTTATCCTCCCTGTCCTAATTCACATCTTTCCTGCTTGGTGTTCTGCCTACTTCAGCGCTTCTCTTTGCTTTCTGGGGCTGTAGTTAGACCAGCAATGCCACCAAAAGAAGCTATCGTGTATTTTCCCAACTCGGGGACCCTTCTCCCTGTTGTCTCCTCCCTTATGCTGGCACAAGCATTTCTCTGCTATCCAACAAAAAGACAGGGAAGGATGAATTTCCCAGCAGATAAATTCTCTAGTTCATTTTCATACACACACTTGTAGCGGGATGAGGAAGGCAGGTAGGACAGGAGCAGGAAACTTTTCAAGCAGTCTCTTCTTGCTTAAAGACCTTGAGTTACAGCTAGCGTGTGTGAACTGCAGGTGGCCTGCTCTTCCCTAGTAAAAGCGTTCTCTTTCTGCCTTTCCTGACTGCTGGTGCAAGTCTTTCTTTTGAAGGGAAAAAAAAAAAGTGCTGTTGCTCTACTTTAGACTTTGCTGTAATGCATTTATTTTATTAGTCTACCCAGTACAGCATGGACCATTTCTCAGGGATGCATAACTGGTACGCCTGCTCACATGCTCGGCCAACCTACTGCAACGTCTGTCGGGAGGCGTTATCTGGAGTCACGTCACATGGGCTCTCCTGTGAAGGTAAGCCTGCTCTCTTCTACCCTCTTTTGGGAGCACCGTCCTTATAGCTCAATGCTAGAGCTCATTTAAGAGGAGTGTTGTTAGCAGTCTTCCAAAAGATGTTGAAAAATTGTACGTAATAAACGCGAGAGAGCTACAGGCAGTGCATGAGACGGAGGTCTTTTCTGGACCTGATGCTGAAACCCTTTGCTGCTGAATCTGTTTGGTTTCACAGAGAATTTTCCTGCAGAAGTCAAGATCAGGATCTTGGCATTTTGTAAAAGAGTAATAGATGTTGTGGTGCTTTCATGCTGGTTTTAGTGTTGGACCTTGTAGTAATATAGCTGGGGTTTTTTCCCCGTGTACCCAAACACTGCCATCCCTTATTAAAATCATGCTTCTGAAATGAACAGGTATGTATTTCTGAAGTATCAGGATATTCCTAAGAATACTCCTGTTCATAAGAATAATCATAGTTGTAAGAACATCCTTGTTAAGTGTCTGAATGCCAGGGGGTTATTCTTTTTCAGCTTTGGCATAGCAGACATGCCTGGCTTGTACTTCTGGAATGAATGAGGTTACACCCACACTGTGTAGAAGGATGCAGGAGTGTGTGACTGTGTAAATCATGTCAAATTTAACAAGGTGATAACTAAGCTTTGTACAAGCAGCTGGCAGAAGTGACAAGGCAAGAATTAATAGCTAGCTCATCTTACTCGGTGTGCTTAGAGCTGATAGTTTTGGCAGTGCTTACAAGGGTAAGGTATGCCCACGCTTTCTTCTGGAGCCAGATAGGCTCACTGGGGAAAGCTTTTGCACAGACTTCCACGTGACACGTTCTGAAGCAGGATTAATATATTCTTCTCTTCCTCTCTAGTGTGCAAGTTTAAAGCCCACAAGCGGTGTGCTGTGCGGGCAACCAATAACTGCAAGTGGACAACTCTGGCCTCTATCGGAAAGGATATCATTGAAGATGAAGATGGGGTAGGCATTAGTCTTAACTCTTCTAGCCTTATCTTGATGTGGAAGCGCTGGCATGTGCTCTGCAGCTCTCTTCAGTGTACAAGTACAGGTTTTGCATTTATGTGTTAGCAATGTGGGAAAGGCCTTTACTTTCAGAGCATGAGATACTGTGTGAAAAGTCCAACCAGGGCAGTATGATGGAAAGAGTCTCCTACCATGGATCAGGGGAGTTGAGGTTAAATAACTGAAGACATGGAGAACTTGCTCTGAATTTTGGCAAAAGAAAGATAAATGATTGGTTGGAACAGTACTTTGGCGTGTGGGAAGTCTGATGGAAGTCAGTGTTTCCTGAGTGTCCTGGGGTGACTCACGTGGTCTCTTTGTGATTGAGCAATGATGTGAAACGCCAAAAGAGGTCCTCAGGTGTGTTCTAGAAATTGTCTTTGCTGTCCTTAAACAGTGTCTCTCTGTGTGTCTCAGTGCTGCAGTGCATCCTGCACCCTTGAAAGTCTATATTGCTCTTCTCCCTCTGTATTTGCAGATCTCGATGCCACATCAGTGGTTGGAAGGAAACTTGCCTGTGAGTGCCAAGTGCACCGTCTGTGACAAGACCTGTGGCAGTGTCCTGCGTTTGCAAGACTGGCGCTGCCTTTGGTGCAAAGCCATGGTGAGTTTAATAAACATGGTCATCCCAGTAAAAGAATAGTCTTTGATCAGCTCTTTGCTGTGTTCTTTTAATGATGTCTACTTAAAATGAAATCTCTAACCATGCTGTCGGTATTTGCCGTGAAGGACTTCAGTGTTCTTTCTCCAGATGATAAGCAGCCTGCAAGAGATAGAAATTTAAATTTGTGCTGAAGAGTACCACTGTGATGCGTGAAAGTAAGACCTGAAATAGGTGTCTGGCTTCTCTGCAAGCTCATTTTCTTTTGATAGTGAGCTTTCATAGAAGAATCTAATTACACAAGATACGAATCAATGCCTCAGGTATAGGAGACGCTGGATTTTAAGGAGCCATTGTTTGTCATTTCTGCAAGTTGAAAAGGTACAACAAAAAAGGACGATAAATAATACCAAGCTATTTGAGCAATTTTAGCAATTTCCTATTCCCATTGCAATAGGTTTCTCTTGCCTAACCACTGCAGTGATGCAGATCTTGCTATGTTTCCAGTTGTCTATAGTATTAATAAGAGAAATATCACCAAATATGTGTATATAATGTGGGGAGCAGGACCTCAAACACTAAGCAAACTCTATCTTGCAGTCTTCATGTACCAGAAGTCGCTGAAGTGCCCTGCTGTGTATTTCTTTTTTTGAGTGGCTTTATTAATTCCTTCTTCTCTTACCTCTTAGGTCCCTTGTATCTTCCTGCTTTGTTTTTTGCTTTCGTGTTTTCTTGAATTTCCAGCTTTTTCTTTTTCTACTAATTTTGATCTCTCAACTGAGGCTAAGATTTTGAAAACAGAATGCCTGAAGGTTCTGAAAGCCACAGAATCTGTTACCTGGTCCTCGCAGCACTCAGAGTACCATCTCATGCATACAAGTGGCAGAAAAAGTACATACTAATGGAAGGAGGAGAATTAATAAAGTCTGTATTAGACCATTCTTAAAATAACTTTATCAATTATCATTTACTTGGATTCCACCCACTCTTACTTTCTTACTCTTCCTTTACAGCTGCTTCTTGGGTGGCTTTATGAGTTCTACCAATGCCCAAAAGAGTCTGACTGGTTATTTTTTTTGGTGGTGTTTCCAGGTACACACAGCATGTAAAGAGTTGTTGCCAAGCAAGTGCCCTCTTGGGCTATGCAAGGTATCTGTCATTCCTCCTACTGCTCTTAACAGCATTGATTCTGATGGTAAGTATCACTGATAGGTAGTGCTCTTCCTCTCAGTCCCAGTCCCTTCAGCTGACAGGATTAATGCCAGACTATGTCAAAGGAAAATTCTGCTTTTGATGTTGCTGCAATTCCAAACAGAAAGACATTGCTGAAGTACGGCAGTGACCTGTTGGCTTTGCTTTCGCATTCAGTTTATTACCCTGTAACGTCAGTATTTGCTGAGCTGCGGCTCTTAACATTTACTGATAACAACTACATCACAGAAGCCATTTGGGAAGGTGGGGGAAGCTGAGCATTTTGGCATGCTGCTAGGAGATAAGTGTGACATTTGGCAGCATGAGGTGCAGTTTGTGCTGGATTTGGGACTGTGCAAATCTGACATTTACCCAGTGAGTGCGGTAAAATACAAGGAAAGTATTAGCTTCTTCATAGCTGTGCTGGGGTGTGCGGTGTTGTTTTTTTTCTCACTTCATCTCCATAGGCAGCTTCACATCTCTTGGCTTTTCCTCCTTCTCCCTTCCCTTTTCCCTGACAGGTTTCTGGAAAGCTACTTGTCCCCCTTCTTGCACAAGCCCTTTGTTGGTCTTTGTCAACTCAAAAAGTGGAGACAACCAAGGTGTGAAATTTCTACGAAGATTCAAACAGCTACTGAATCCAGCCCAGGTCTTTGACCTCATGAATGGAGGACCTCACCTTGGGTAAGGAGATATTCTGTGGAAGCACACATTCTTCCTTGTAGTGATTTATTTGATTATGAGCTCATCGTCAAATATAACAAGGAGCTTATTCCTCAGAGAAGACTGACCACATATAAAGTTTGGAGGGGTTTTCCCCTCTCTGTGTTTAGTGTTACTGATTAGCTGAAACCAAAAGTGTTGTTGAGAAAGATTACTATTTCCATTCATCAGTAACAGCAGGACACCTTGAGGGGTCTTTAGTGAATTCCAGAAAAATTCCCCTGGAAGAAGACCAAGTGTGGAAAGCTCAAATCCAGAAGAAAACTTGTCAGCCAAGAGACTTGAAACAGGCATCATGATGTAGTGTTAATGAGAGTTAACTTCCATTAAATCGGGTGAACAGACAAATGCCAGAGGTAGCAGATGAATATTGTCAAAATGAGATTTATCCAGAAATAACTTACCTGAGAGGTAAACTTCGTCTGTTAAAGATTTTGTGGTGATATCGGGAAAGCATCTCTTAGGAGGGCTTTTGGTAAAGTTGGTTCTGTCCTGGGGTCTAGATGACATTTCGGGCTTGTTTACCTGATTACACTAGAGTATGGATTAAAAAAAAGTGAGCACTGTGGAATAAATTCCTTTGCTGTATTTCTGCAACTCTCTTTAAAAAAAAAAAAAAAGTTTGGACTCTAGTTTCCTATGTTTCCTTTCCTATGTTTCTCTGTTGCGTCTTATTTGAGTAACTTCTGTCATGAATGGGCGTTTCTTATAATAAGAGCCAACACAAAGTGAATTTCCTTCATACTTTTCTAAATGTGACTCAAATGTCACATGTCAAACGTGACTGTGACCTGTAGATGCACGGTGCTGAATGTGGGAGTGTCCGCTCCTGGATGAGTGACCATTAGGTTCTGCTCTCTTGAGAACTGTGGTGGTTTCTTGCCATAGTGCATTGCAAAACACTGACCTTTAAAACTGCAGCATGCTGTCCAGGGGATGTGTTTGGCCGATAAATAATTTACAGAACACTTTTAAAACTAAGTAATATCCCTCTTCCCCTCCCCATCTGGACTGACCGTAGAGAAGAATTTTGCTTTTAAGCAGGAGAGAAGGGAAGGTATTGATTATTTTCTCAAGCTGTGGTGCACACTTCTAAAACAGCTGCTTTTGTATGCTTAAAAAAGAACTGATGGTACAGGATAAAGGCAGCTTCTTGAAAATTTAAAAATTCTCAGCTGATGCCAGTCAAACAGTACTGTAATATGTTAGCATTTCTGATAGATATTTTTTATGTGTCAGCAATGCTTGACGAAATAACAATTTTCATGTACTGCAGCAAATCCTTTTTAAAAAAATTATATACAAAACCAAAATAAAAGCAGGCAGTAGTTCTGGAAGATGTAAGAAGCACAGTTTCAAACAGCTTGAGGAGGGGTTGTTTTTAATATTCAAAAAAAATAGAGAAATTCATGCTTGTCTTGCCAGTGGGTTTTTTGCCTGCCTGCAGGACAGACAAGGCGCCAGAGCATTGATTTATGTTGCCTTCACAGAAGAAGGACTAAAGCTTGTGAGGCTTTACATCCCCTTGCAGTAAGTTCCCACTCTTCAGGCTTTCCTTTAATTGGTATGGCCTTGAGTGCGAAGGCAGTGACATCAGAGCACCCCAAGCAGTGACAAATAACTAGTGTTAGGCTGAACACAGCAAATCAGCAAAAAAGAATACATTGCATGGATAATCAACTGTCACGTGCTTGTTTCCTCTTCCGTTGAGACAGAAGTGCCCTGCTTTACTAGAGTAATATGTCTAGGACGTATTTCTGTAGTGAATAGCCATTGTAAATTGCTGAGCTGTATTAATAATTCCTTATTTATAAGCATTTTAATCCATCTGTAATCTGACAGTCACCCTTATTCATTGCAAAATCACAGCCTACTTTAAGCAAATCTACCATGTTTATTATCTACATTGGAATTGTTTATCATTTCTTCTTGTAACAGCTGATTGTTCTGCCCTTCTGCTTTTTTCTTTCCCTTCTCTGTAGTTTACGCTTATTCCAGAAATTTGACACTTTCCGGATTCTAGTTTGCGGTGGGGACGGAAGTGTTGGCTGGGTTCTCTCCGAAATTGATAGCCTCAATCTTCACAAGCAGGTATCTGCCCAAAGAGCTTGGCTGGATAAAAGAATGAAGTAATAACAACAGCATGGGTTGAAGAGGACGTTCTTTGATCATACAGACGTAATTTACCCCAGGACTGAAGCTGCCACAGCAGTGTTCTTGCAGTAGTTTTCTGCAAGCAGCCATACAGGACTAATTCTTTATTCTTATCTCCGATGCTCCTCCACAACTCCCTCTTACGTGACCCAGCTTTTGGAGTAGCTCTGAGTGACTCCTGGTCCACTGCAGCAGAGACTTAGGCTCAGAAAGGGCTGCACTTAGAATACCGGGAGTTCCACAAGGGTTATGCTCCTCATCTGTTCCGTTTAATGCTCGTGGTGTAGTTCCTGATGGATGGACAGAAACACCATTGGAGTAGAATTATCATACTAGTTAGTATTAGTAATTAGTTTCCATTTTGTCTTGGAGAGGTCTATGCTAATCATATGGAAAAAGCAATAGCACCACCTGATGGTTAAATAAATACATCTGCAGAAGGGGTTACTAGGAGCAAGGTGCTCCTCGAGATGGTAGCTGCAATGCACTCCTCTCTCAATTAACAACTTTAAAGTAGAGGAAATTTTTCCTTCCTTACATATTCTTCTGCTGTTTTTCCCATCCAGTATCTTTCTCCTCACCTGGGGACTAGCTGTTTCTCAGTGACTGGTGTAAGGAATCAGTCATGTTACTTTTGGCTGTGTGTGGCTTGTGTTTTCCCATTTGAATGTCAGGTTTGGTTTCCTTTTCTCTAATGCAGTGCCAGCTGGGAGTCCTACCCTTGGGAACAGGGAATGACCTTGCCCGAGTGTTAGGCTGGGGATCTGCTTGTGATGATGATACCCAGCTCCCACAGATCCTGGAGAAGCTGGAGAGGGCCAGTACCAAAATGCTGGACAGGTGAGTAACCATTGCTAACACCTTCCCTTGCTCAAGAGTTGTGTGAAAGTATCCTTCGAGGAGAACTGGGCAGTTCTTGGTTCTTCCCAGCTGCTAGACTGCTTATTAATGCCAGTTAATGGGTTTTCTTTGATAATCTTCTGTCACCTATTAGCCACAAAAGGTAGTCTGGTTTTCTGTGTCACTGCTGCAGAATACTTATGTCTGATGTCCAATGTCCTCTCTTGTGTTCCAGAATTCTCATCATTGAATATGTCAGCCTTACAGTCATGATTTTTTTTAAGCTCATTTTTTTGTTGGTAAACTTGATCCAATTTTTCTTGAGTTTGACTTAGAAATGACAGCTGAATGCAGAAATTAACATCTTTACCCCAATATTGATATTGCTTCTATATCTTTGTACATTTAAATACGCCTCTTGTCTTTAGAGTTGCATCTTGGCATCTGTCACATTGAATTGAATAATGCCCGTAGAATTTCTGTGAGAGAGGGAAGACGTACAGAGAACTTCCTTGTGCTGTAGGATACCTGTTTATAGTGTCATGCTTCCCACTTCCCCTGGTTCAGCCCTTCTGCAGTTCCGTTGCAGCTCCTAAATTTCTTCCATCAGTCGTGCCCATGTCAAAGTGCAATTTGTTCTGCTTTGAGATTCTAACCTGTTACATCCTTTGGATAAAGGAGGAAATCACCTGCCTTGTAGTGATGTTGCCTCTTTTTCAACAGGTGGAGCATCATGGTGTATGAAACCAAACTCCCTCGCCAGGCCTCAACCTCCACAGTCACTGAAGATTTCAGTGAGGATTCTGAGGTACCTCACAGGATGCAGAGGGCGGGAGACTGCGACCAGCAGCCTCAGAACGAATGAGATGGGAGGCAGTGGTTGAGCTCAAATGAAGCAGGCCTGAGCCATGACTTGGGTGTAGCAGGAGCTACAAAGATCTGGGGGCTTTAAGTTAATGAAGTATTATGGAGAGAGTGGAGGCTGTGTTACCAGCGTCAACAACCACAACGAGGGATGAGAAGAAGGTGCTGTGGAACAGGACAGACAGGAATTTATTGACCTTTATTTGTTGTCCTGACAGCAAGTTGCTGAAATTGTGGAAAGTTGCACAGAAGTCATAAACCACCCCCGATTTTTAGATCTAAGAACTGTGCTGCTGCTCATTTCTAGGTTCAGAATTAGTTTCTTCATCAGATTCAGGTCTTCAGTGAGTAACTAAGCCCTGGACCACAGACCTTTTCCAAGTCAGAAAGAATCTGTAGAATCGTAGAATCATAGAATGGCCTAAGCTGGAAGGGACCTTAGAGATCATTTTAATCCATCGTTACCGTTACTCTTTGGGGAACCAGGGTTGTAATGTTGGGAAGCAGCACCCCAGTGGCTTATTTCTGGCTGTCTCCAGGTGCAAAAGATTCTCTTCTATGAAGACTCTGTGGCTGCTCATTTGTCCAAAATTTTGACTTCTGACCAACACTCAGTGGTCATCTCCTCAGCCAAGTAAGTACTTAGAGGATAACTGCTCGAAGTGAAAGTTGCACTGTGAAAATCCTGAGATAATCCTTGCGTGACTTTTGTTTTTACTGCTTTCTTTGTCTAGGGTGCTTTGTGAGACAGTCAAGGATTTTGTGGCTCGCGGAGGGAAAAAACAGAAAGCTCAGAGGAATCAGAGGTCATGGCCAGGAAGGTAAAATTGGAAAACTTGTTCGGGTTTCTACTGCTGAAGTGGAAAACTGCTCTGTTTTCTGAGAGCTAGGACAGTAGCAGTTCACCAAGCACTAAAAGAGTGAGCTACCCAGCCTACTGTTAGTTTTGCTCAGATGTTCTCCTTTGCCTCGTAGTGCTCTGTTCTGAAGGAGAAGCTGGACTCATTGCTGAAGACACTGAATGATGAATCTCAAGCATCTTCATCTCTGCCAAACCCTCCTCCCACCATTGCAGAGGAAACTGAAGATGGTGATGGGTCAGGCGGTGCTTGTGATTCTTCTAGCGACCGGTCGGTGGGCTCGTCATGTACTGCACGGCCCCAGATATTTCGTCCTCGAGAACAGCTCATGTTGAGAGCCAACAGCTTGAAAAAAGCCATTCGTCAGATTATAGAGCATGCAGAGAAAGGTAACCTGTTAGGAGTCTTGCTGGTGACTTGTGACAGGCTCTTGAGAAGCAGAAGTTTCCTTTAGTCCAAGGGGAGTAGGATTCTGTTAAAAACAGCTTTCCTCAGCTAAAGCAGCTTTTCAGTTTAGTGTCAGTATGTTCTCTGCCAAGCCCACCTGGTTTAGACATTGCTTGGTCAATGAGGCTGAAGTTCAAGGTGTGTTCTCTCCCATAGGGCCGGTTTAGGAAGTTGCTGCCCTCCCACACTGTTCATTTGCATTTCCTGCCTGTCCCCACCCATACCACAGTTGTGTCAGCACAACTGTTTGTGTGGCCTTGCTGAAAAACAAATCTGAAAACACTTGGGAAGGAAGTATTTTAAGTATTTTAACTCGGATTGTTCCAGAAGTCTCTTTATAGTAGAGCCCAGCAAAACAGTGCAGTGGTACAATTGCAAGAGAGGGCAGGAACTTGTGAAACTAGCTTTTGTCACTGGGAAAATATTATAATACTGCACCTTGATCCAAATCAATTCTGTTCCAATGTTAACTTCCTAGGCAGGTGACCTTCTTCTCCACATCTTGACCCTTATCTCTCTCCAGCCACTCATACCCATAGCACAAAGTTTCATTTCCTAGGGAAAGCAGCAGTCTCCCAGATGTTAGTCATAAACTCAGCGGTTTAACTTAGACCAAAGGAAGTATTTAACAGCTTTTTACTGGAGAAAAAAGCATTGAACTTGCAGATGTGACGTCCATGCACACCTAAAGGCGCGCTGTAAACAACTATGTAGTAAGTTACAGATCGTTGCAATGTTGCTTGGATTTCCAGCACTGCAGTATTGTATAGAACCAGTCCTGAAGGTGAAGTTACATGAGATGATGGAAGTTAAGCAAACAGCCTGCTTCTGGTGAGACAGAGGTCTTGCTCTCACTGCTGCCCCACTTTGCAGAAGAAATTTCAGTTTCAGTAGGCAATATCCTAGCATTTAAGTTTTACCAGCTCTTTGGCAAACTTCAGTTACATTTCAGATGTATTTGTTCAAGTTCTAAAAATTGTTTTTCTTCTTCTAAAATATGTAATCTGATTCATTCCCTTGTTTGTATTGTTTTTACCAATTATTTTCTTCCTCTTGATTATATGCGTCTTAAGTGCCCTTTTCAGGTGGCTTATCCTGTTGTACCACTACAGATTAAGCAAACAGAAAATTAATTAAATTTATCATTTAATGTCCATCTGGTTAGAATTTCTGGCAATGTCTAAACACAAATAAATGGAAGCCCATCACCTCTAGCACAGTTTACATCTCCGGAAGCCTGAGTATCTGTGCCATTAAAGGTGCAGTCTCACTGCAAAGAGCTTAGCAGAGAAAACAGCAAGATAAGCCCGCACTGTTCCAGAAACAGTCCAGAGTAGAACTTAGTTGAGACAAATTATATAGGAAAGGGTTTTTTTTATTATTCCTGTTCTTTCCTCTAAGGAATCAGGGCCTTTAGAGTCCCATCCTATTATTATACGTCAGTGGGAGGTGTTCAGAGACATTCGAAACCCAGCTGGACGTGTTCCTGTGTGACCTACTGTAGGTGATCCTGCTTTGGCAGGGGGGTTGGACTAGATCATCTTTTGAGGTCGCTTCCAACCCCTGACATTCTGTGATTCCTTGCTAGAAGAGCTGTGAGGCACTCACCTGCTTTCTCTCTCCTTACAGCTGTAGATGAGCAGAACGCCCAGACCCAGGAGCAAGAGGGCTTCCTCCTTAGTCTGTCAGCCTCTGAAGAGGGTAAGGAGCTAAGGAATGAGAATAAAATCTCCCTGCAGTCATCACACAGCGGCAGCTATAGAGTGTCCAAAGGGAGGAGTCAGCGGAAAGGTACTGCTCTGGGGCTGCCACCATGCAGATCTTGACTGTGAATTATGATTCTGGTAGTTGTAAAAGGTGTTACCTTCCAATTTCTGTTTTTCTCTAATTTTTGAATGATGACTCTTCTGGTGCCAGGCTTCTCAGATTCGAGGCCTTGCATGTTTTTGTGCTCTAGCCTTTGTGTCTTACACCTTGTTTTTCACTACATCCCTGGTGGCTGGTCCATGGTCTCAGCATATGGAGCCTAGGATTCAGAAATTTTCTTGCACCTTAGCAGTAGTCTGGGTTCTCTTCACTTTCAGCTCTTGGACGAAGGATGGTCTTGAGCATTTTTCATGTCATCTACCCAATGACATTTCCTTGTAAGCCCCTGCCATCCTTTGCAGATTATAGAGAATGGAAGCCAGTCTGTTTTAATAACTGTGTTATGTGAGCAATTCGTTAGAGATCCCTGATCACTGCAAGTATATTTGGAACTTATCTGAGTATTGACTGGGAGCCAAGTGCCCTGTCTTTTGTGCTGCTGGCATCAACTTTTTCTCATTTCCATTTCTACTATTTGCACGCGGCATTTTGGTACCTCCAATCTGTGAGGTTTTCTGTCTACACATATGCCTCATCTCTGTCTCTTAATGACTAGTTCTGTCAACTCTTCATTTTATGCTGGCTAGAGTGTTTTGCTGTTGAGTGATTCCTAACCCAGTCTTGCTGCTTGGGCTGTGCTGCAATGTGCTGGTCTGAATCACAGCGTTATGTTTGTCAATAGCAATGTTTGTGTTGTGTTTTACAGCATCCAAGTCTCCTTGTGAAAGATTAATAAACAAAGGAAGTTTGTCGCTGGGCAGCTCTGCATCTCTTCCTCCCCAGACAGGAAACCGGGACAACTTGCCAATGCTGAACACAAAAATCCTCTACCCAAGTAAGTATAACGCCCACTACTTCCCCTTGAGGTAGCCAGCTGGAGCATGGGTGACAGCAGCACAGCCTGTGTTCTCCTCATGGAAACACAGAATTTTCGTGCCTGATGTCCTTTTGTGCAGGGTCCGCTTGGAGAGGAATCCCTTTGTGGCTAACTTTCCACTGGGGCTGAAAAGCGGAGACTTGGAGGGAGCTGTAGTAGTTTCCAGTTTGTAGCTGGCACCTAGACACAGATATTTATTAACACTGCACAGTGGCAGAATTTAGATGCCAATAACAAGGAAATACTGAGCTCAAAGTAACCTTGAGAAGGCTGATGCAATGTTGTTGAGAGAATGGCAGCCATAGACTGGGAGCAGCAGTCCCGTGAAGGCTGAAGTCGCTGGAGGTGCACAGGCCTCCAGAATTCCCACCTCTCACATCTTGTGTAGCAACTTCTCATCACCGCGGTGCTCTTCTTCCACCTCTTCCCTCGAATTACTTTGTTTCTTCTGGAAGCAGGCAGCTTCCATTCTCTCTGACAAAGCTACTGTTTGTGGGTTGCCAGCTAATAATTTAAGAAGCAGGAGGCAGTAATTCTTGAGCAACTTGGAGAATGATGTCAGTCTTGCTCCTCTCTCTTTACTTGTTGAAGCAAGGACGCTGCACATTTCACCTTGCGACAAAAAGGCTACTGCAGTGAATACACTCCTGTTTCTCATTTCCATGTGTCTGTACAACTGTGCTCCTGGCCTTTGGTGTCAGTCAAAAACCCTACAGGCAGCCCCAGAAATCCTTCTCCTTTTTGAGAGAGCTAAGCCTTCTGGAGTGGAAAAAAGCACTAACACTATTTGCTTTCCAGAGTGAATTGCAAAAGTTAATATATTCTAACCTATCATCTCGTCTTTGAGATTGAAGTTACCTTTCTCTGTTTATTATTAATCCCACTCTTCCCTGGGTCAATTCTCCTACAGATATCCGTGCTGGTATGTCTGGTTCTTTGCCTGGGAGCTCTGTCATCAGCCGGTTGTTGATTCATGCTGATCCCTTTAACTCTGAGCCTGAAAATCTGTGAGTATGCCCAGGACATTGAAGGGAAGGAGTGGAGGTTTCCAAATGGACCTTGGCAGAGGAGCAGATTAGTTTCTAGAGCTAAATAATGGACTGCAGGAGCCCAGAGTTATGTAAATGAATTCATATGCTGGGTGCCAGTGAGGATCAGCTTATGTAGTTATACAGTAGTTATGCAGTGACACATTTGACTCAGGGTAGATGATTTTTAGGTTTTAGATGAGAGTAAAATCTTCTCCCTAGACTCAGAGATGACTCCAGTTTCCAGTTAGTAGACAGTAACCTGTGGGGGAATCACTACTCTTAAAGCATGGAGGCCTGAAAAAGGGCACGGAGAGGTCACAACAGGGAAGGCACTTGGGAGATGTGATGTGAAGACTTTCTCAGGCTGCTTCTGCTAAACTGTTTAACAGTAAAAATCAAGTGGTAGAGACTTAATTTTTTTTCATGGGATTTAGTGCCCCTGAGACGAGTAGCTGACACTTTTAAGCTCATTTGCCATGCTCTTTGTAGGTAACACCTGTTACATATATGTATATATAAGCAATTAGCACTGCTGGTGTTTTGTGAGACCTTTTACACAACGCCGGTGATCAGCATCATAGTTCTTTGTGAATGAGGCATGAGCTTCCGAGGGTGTTTCTGTGGCAAGGGGAGAATTCCTCTGCAAATCCTGTGGTTGTGAAGCCTTACAGATAGAGGCTGTAAGCCAGGGAACCCTGCTCATGAGTAGCTACTTTTGTAGTACTCATTGTGGGTTTCAAGCAGTTTTCAGTGGTGTTTATCAGAGCTTGATGGCGTACAACCTTTTTTATTCAAGAGAACTATAGGATGGCCAGAGGGGGGATGCGAGATGTGTACCAAATGGTACACAGACTTACGAATGCAAGTTTTGTTCTTTTGTTGGGCAGTGAATGTTACACAGAGAAGTGTGTCATGAATAATTACTTTGGAATTGGACTGGATGCAAAGATTTCTTTGGACTTCAACAATAAACGTGATGAGCACCCGGAGAAATGCAGGTGGGTTTGGCTTTGGCCCATCTTTGGATACTGCCAGAATTGACTGAAACCACTTTATGTTTCTGTTGTGATTTTGGAGCCAGTTGTGTACAACTGATGGAGGAGGTAAGTTGCTGTTTTATTACTGATTTGTTAGGCCATCGTGGCTGGTATAAAATCTGAGTACCTACATTGGTGTGGATTTACTGCGTTGGTTCTATGTACTTCGCGATCTTGCAGATTTTTCTCCTGGGCTTGCTATTTTGTAGTCAGAGAAGGACATCTCAGATCTCAGCCATGGAGTCTGATTTCTGCCTTGATTCTAATTTAGTACAAACCACAGATTCTGGCCTTTTGAATACCTGGGTAACAACAGGATGCTTTCTGTAGCCTGGGATTGGTACATTTGCAATACTTGAGCAAAATGCTCTTCATGTCCTGGTGTATGAGATTGACAAGTTCTCTGCCAAGGGGATCTGTTAGGATGTGTTAGTCATCCTGAATTCCTACCTGTCATTTATTTCAAGTGGAATAGTTTTGTAGCACAAGTGATGACCATTTTGAGTGCTTCAACCTGTTGGAAGCAAAACATATTTGTGTTTTAGGATGTAGGAGTTACAATTTCAATGTGTTTATTTTCTTTTTGCTTTCAAGTGAAAAGGTGAAATGCCTATGCTAACTTTTTCTCCTTCGATTTGCCCCCTTAGAAGTCGTACTAAAAACATGATGTGGTACGGAGTATTGGGGACCAAGGAGTTGCTACACAGAACATATAAAAACCTGGAGCAGAAAGTCTTGCTGGAGGTGAGGAATTAGCCTGCCCTTCTGTTCCTAAAACTGGGATGTCTAATTGCATCTCCTTCAGGCACTTGGACTTTGGCTGGTGATTCTACTTGGTGACATTAGGGTGATGCCCTTGCCTGCCTGATACAAGGCACTTGCTGTGTCTCACCCTGAGCTAGCTAAAAGTGGCTTTTCCTGGTTCTGAAGGGTAACTTGTGTTCTCAGCCCATGAGGGAAATGCCTTCCTGCTGGAAGGTATTAGCTGTCCGCAACTCAGTGTTCAGCACAGCTAAGGTTGTTATGTGTAGTATCTCATATGAACACATCATTTTAGATTGTAGACGCAGTGGAAAGCTCTTAATTTAACTAAGCTAAAGCGTGCGTCAAACTGGAAAATAAATGTTCTCTTATGGGCCATGTACAGCATAAACAGGTAGCTTCCCAGAGACCCTTGTCACAGTAGACTGCATAGGTGTTTCAGAAGTTTTATTCCTCTTTCTGGAGGAATAAACCAAGAAGCTCTGCCAAGCCTCTTGGGTGTGCCCTATTCCTGTCTGGTGAAAAGAAGCAACGCTATCCGTCTAAAACCGCCCTCTGCCAGAGGAGTGGTGGTTCATGAGGCACAGATGGATATATTCTACTCCATTAGGTCAAGAATTAACTGGTAGAAACCTGAATTAATTTATTGCTGAGCTGTGCAGGCTGTTTTCTGTTCTTAGAGGACACACTCTGGCAGGAGAGCAATGTTACCTTCTTTTCTGTGCAGTGCGATGGGAGGCCAATTCCTTTGCCCAGTCTCCAGGGGATCGCCGTACTCAACATTCCCAGCTATGCAGGAGGCACCAACTTCTGGGGTGGAACCAAGGAAGATGATGTGAGTGTTCTCTAAAGCAGTCCAGGAAATTTTTTTACTTACTGTTGCTTTTGAAGTCATAGGCCCTGAAAATAGTGCTTGGAAGAAGAGGACAAGGGGCCTGTCTGCATGTGCTTCCTCTGTGAAGTGGTCAGGATACTAAAGTGCTGTCTTCAGCAGCCTTGTACCCAAGCGGTCTGTAGTGATTCTGAAAAAAGTACAGATGCTGTCCTGAGCATTTGGATGTCCAGGTACTGCTGTAAATTGACCTTCTCCCCTCCGACAGCCTGAGAGGTAGAGCCCCTTGAAGACTAAGGAAGTTAGATCCAGTCAGAAACATTGTATTATTTGACTTGAAAAAGTGCCTACTCTCATAGGAGTAATTATTGTCCTGTGATTATACTTCATCTGCCATTGGAACAAGAGTGGACATGTTGAGGGTCGTTTTTCTCCCTCCTAGCTCACTGCAGATCTTCACCTTCTAGCCTTGTTAATTTTATACAGATTAAATAGCACAATTAGAAGCCACCCCCCAGATCTGCATTGATAGGGGGTAAAGGAAATGTCTCCAGCAGAGCTGTATGTCAGCTGAATTCTCCCTCTCTTGTATCTGGCTAGACATTTACAGCCCCCTCCTTTGACGACAAGATTTTGGAGGTGGTAGCAGTGTTTGGTAGCATGCAGATGGCGGTGTCACGAGTGATAAACCTACAGCATCACCGGATTGCACAGGTAATAATTGCTTTTTTGAGCTCCTCTTGCCTCCCCCATCTCCAGCTTTTGATGGGTTTGCCAGTTTCAGTCAGTAAAGCCCTTCTTTGGGCTCTCTCTGGGCCATGGAAAGAGGGTTAACCGTGGCTGAAAATTAGCATGGTCAGGGAAAATTTGGGCATGGAATTGTTTGCTGGTGTTCACTGTGGTAGGAGTTATACCAACAACTCAAATATAAATTAGTCCAGAGACACGGGCTCTGCTGCACAAGGATAAGGCATCTTCTGCCACCCAGGCACACGTGCCTCTTGTAGCACCAAAGCTGTAGTACCTGGAGAAGTGCGTTAGAAAGAACGAGAGTACCTCGTGCTTTTGAAAAACCAACATTTTAAAGCTTCTCTGATTCAGTCACTTCTTGCAGTGTCGGACGGTGAAGATAGCAATTCTTGGAGAGGAGGGAGTTCCTGTGCAAGTGGATGGAGAAGCCTGGATCCAGCCTCCCGGTTACATTTGGATCGTTCATAAGAACCGGGCACAAACCCTCACCCGAGACAGGGTAGGAGCAGCCTTTTGTGCACCAAATAGTACACGTGTGGTCCTGTGTCACACACTCCCGGAGAGTATGTGAAAGCTTACCTTTGTCAATATAAGCAGCACATTTTGCTACCCCCCATAAAACTGTTTGAAAGGAATGTGATTAAACTTGCATTCACCACTTGGGAAATCCTATAAACAGGGATGTTTATGCAAGCTTAATTTACTTCCTTTTTTAAGTGCCTTGTGACAGCATTTCTTAACATGCTTCCATGCTGTTTTTCCCACAGGATGTCTGCCACACTGAATACTGTGGATTGTCTGGATTCAGCTGTTCAATATTTTAATTTATTATGGTTCAATATGTGCCTTATACCTAACTGACCAAGTAAAACAGTGTCTTATGCCTTGTTCAGCAGTGCATGTCATCTCATTATTTTCAAATATATCTAATTGAGTACTAGCACATAAGAAGGCGTCCTTGCCCGTTTTTACTGCATTACTGAACAGTAGTAAGCCAAAAGAAAGGGTAAAGGCCTTGCTGTGGTGCAAGCAGGCTTTATAGTTCTTCCCAGCTCTGTAACTGGCCATGACTAAACAGCTCAGTCGAGAGCAGCTCTTAATACTTTTCAGCATAACACTCATTTACTCAGCTTCCAGAGTAAATCTCTGCAAAGAACTCACCTGCTGAATAACAAGAAAAGAGAGAACAATGAAGAGGAAAAAGGGAAAGCAGCCCGGTACAGGCCTGAGGCACACTGCCTGCCAGGACCTTACAAGTGTGATGCTATGAAAAGAAAGCAAAGGCAGGCCTGCCTGTCATGGTAGGACAGGGCAATACCTGAGGCCTTTGAGCTGGGAGAGAACAGTGGGTGTTGATCATAGACACAGAGAACAGTTTGGGTTGCACCTCATTGCACTCATTGACCCATCTGTCCTTGCCCTGAGGCTTTGTGTGTCAGTTTTCATTCTCAACACATACAATTTTTATCCTTCAGCATTGGATCTGCTTCTTCCTGTACCCCTAGCTGACGCCAACAGGTATATCAGTACAGGTGCAAGTGAGATAGGTCCTAGCTCTGAATTCAGCTACTCGTCCCACCAGTTACTGTGGAAGCCCTGTTTACTTTCAGATAAGTGGGGGCCTTGATCACTTGTAATTTCCAGCTCTGAAATGTCACTTGAAGAGGTGTGCAGTAGTGCTGAAGTGTAGAGGTGATATAGCTGCTCAGAGAAAAGGCTGCCACCAGTAGGCAATTGGGGGACTTTGCTAGTCTAGCCCTCAGAATTGGCCTAGCAATTTTGACTAAAACTAGCCTTAAGCAAAAATTAAGCCAAGGCAATCATGTGGCATGGAAAACCTCAGCCCAGACAACTAGTTAGCAAAGTTATAAGCCGCTGAACAACTGAGTCCTGTGACGAAAAGTATCTCTATTAGATCTACATGTTTTAGAGGCCTAGACATTGGGGGTTTTTAGGAACTTTGCAGGGTATCTTACAGTTTGCTTGTTGTACTTTTAGGCATTTGAGAGCACCCTGAAGTCATGGGAGGACAAACAGAAGTGTGAGTTGGCTCGACCCTCCTCTTTCTCTCTACAACCAGAGATCATGTCTGAAGAAGAATCCACCCAGATCAACCAGTTTGGTCAAGCTGCAGGTGCTCTGATTCACAGGTGGGACTCAATTTGCTTTTGGTGAATAGAGGCCTCCGTTGGTGCCTGAAGTTCTTGTCCTACTCCCTGTTCCTGGAGATGTTTCTGTTCACTCTTACCTGCTACAGAACTGGTCCGTGTCACTGGGCGTAGCATCATTCATTATGCACTCTCCTGACTTCAGGAGAACTGAAGTCGAATAAATTTTCTTAGGTCATTCTGAACAAAAAATGTTACTTTCAGGAGCAAACGTGGATTCTTTAATGCTGAAAGAACCAGTTATATTTGAATATCAATCATTTTTATCAGAGATGAAACGAGGGCCTCCCTAGCAGCTCAGATGACAAATTGGGTTCTTGTAACCCTAACACCCAGCAGAGATTTCTGGAAGTGACTGTGTGCTCCTCTGCTCATCCTTTAGTCAGGCATTCAGCTCCTTGGTCTGGGCCTCTGAGAGAAAATTCCCAGAGTCACATCAAGGAAGTGTCAATTAAACTGGCATATGTGCAGCTGCCTGTTGCATCACTATGGCCATGCTAAAATGTCGAGGTGGTATTTCAGACTGATCTCAACTTGAGTGCAGAACTGAATGTGCACCTGGAGTTGTGCCTGTGAAATCTGCCTTGCTTTGCCTATGCATGCTCACTACAGCGGGGAGAATTACCCTGCTTTGCCGGAGGCTGTGCCCCTCCTATGCTTTACCCCTGCTTTTGTCACTCAGCTGGGTATTCAAAGGAGATACCCAGTCAGAGAAGATCTGCTTTGAGCATATGCTGATGCAATCTGTAATTCTCTCTTTAGCATTCGGGAAATAGCCCAATCCTATCAGGACATGGAACAGGAGCTTGCCCATGCTGTCAATGCCAGCTCCAAGTCTATGGACAAAGTCTACGCTAAATCCAAGTCTACAGAGGTACTTCACTCACTTGGCGTCTCCCATTTTGTCCTTGTTCCACAGCTCTCAGTTTTCCTTTCTGATTGACCAAAAGTAGGCCTTGCTTGTCTAAGACCTCTTCCTTTTGACTGGTCAGACCTCTTAGTTTCCAGGCTTAATTTGCGCATGAATTGCTTCCCTGCAGGGTCTGAACTGCAGCCTTGTTGTAGAGATGGTGAATAATGTCAAAGCCCTGCATAATGAGACAGAGCTGCTGCTGGCCGGCAAGATGGCACTGGTAAGAGCACAAAGCAAGAGGAAAGCAGCCTCTCCCTTTCTCTCCTCTTCTCCTGTTGCCTTGGCAAGCAATGTTTTGCTGGTCTTGGTCTTCTTTGTCTTTGTAACAGGTCAGTTTAAATGTTATCATCCAGGAATTAGGATGGTGATATGTGTGATGAGCAGTCAAGCTAGCTTTTGTGGAGTTTGGAGCTCAAAAAAGATGAAAATTGTTAACTTGGTAACATCTGGGCAGAGTGCCTGTTGTGCACTTCCTTTTAGAAGGAGGAACTGCTTTGTTAGCTAGGGATTTCAAGGCAAGGGCTTAACTGTGTGTCCCACTATATAGCTTTTAAAACTCTACTTTGCTTCCATTTGTGATCCAGCAATTAGATCCTCCGCAGAAGGAGCAGCTCCAAGCAGCCCTGGCAGACATGGACCTCCAGCTGAGGAAACTAGCAGACATCCCTTGGCTGTGGCAGCTTGTGGAGCCTTGCGATGAGGAGGTGAGGAGGACCAAGGCTGTGTTTCCCTACTTCTCTTTTCCACTAGTTGGCTGTGAGTGTTTGACTTCCTGTGAATATACAGCTGATGTGAGAAAAAAAACATTACGAAGGAAATTTGACTCCCTAGAGCTAAATAAAGTAATTTCCTGCTCAGGTCTCTTGCCTGACATGGGAACAACTTTCTCTGTTTCCTTTCCTGTCTTGATCAGAATGAGTTCAGAATTTTTTTTTCCTTTCTTACAAGGTCATGGAGCTGAACTGGACAGTACTTGTTGCTCTTGGTCCATTCCAATTAATTTATGACTCTTTGCCTGATTTTCCTTTTTTGTTCTTGCAGAACCAGATGCTGGATTATTCCAAACGCAGTCGCAGTGGCAAATTCCGGCTGGTGACCAAGTTTAAAAAGGAGAAGAACAACAAAAATAAGGAGGCTCATAGTACCATGGGATTGCCGGGTACCAAATCTGCTCATTCATTGTGTCCCTTTGTCACATCAGTGTGGTCACACCGCTACCCGTTCTCTGTTTCCTCTCGTGTTCTCGGCTTCTTCTGTTTCACGTGCATCTGCCTTTCTTGGAGGTCTAGTCTGTCTTTTTCATGTGACAAAGTAGCTTATTTCTCCATTCTATCTGAGTCATGGTCCCCTAGTACCACGCAAATAGTCCTGAGCAGGAACAGGAGGTACCCTCTGAAGAATTCTGCCTACATCCAGACATTTTCAGGGATACTTTAGGGGATGCTTAGTGAAGCGTATGTGAGGATTTTGACATTTGAGGTATCAAAATGACTGTGGGGCCCAAGTCCGCATAACTCCCACCTCTTTACTGCTAGTTCTCTGTGATGTGGTTAATCATGTTTTCCTCATTGATTCACCCTCAGGCTTTAATCAGGTTTCATGTCTAATTGGCTGGGGATCAGCATCACCACAGGTGCACCCTGACCTTTAATCCTACTGGTCAGTAGATAAAAACTGGCCATGAATCAACAAATTGCCGTTCAAGACCCTTTCTCTCCAGTTGGGTTAGTTGATTTTTGGGTTATAATCTCCTTATGAAGATTTTCTTCTAAAATTCAGAAATGCTACCTGTTCTGTGGGCTCCTGGGTCCTGTCCTCTGCCATGGAGTTGTGGGTACAGTCTCCTTCTGTCTGACAGGCTGGTGCTCATTCAGTGCCTCCCAGAAGTTTGGAACTTTATTATTCTCTTATTTAGAGGCTGTGCAAGAAGGTGGAAGTCTAAACTCTTCCTCTCTTCCTCAGACTTGGAGGAAAGAGGTTGCCGTTTTTACTGAGGACAAGCACTTCTACGTAACAGCAAACTAGTCTGTGCTTGTTTTCTAAGCAGAGGAATATCAATGAACTTAACTCTTCCTAAGCAAGTAAACTAAACTTTAAAAAGCATAGCTAGTCCTGTCAAAACAGCTGTGCACTTCCTCCTGGCTTTACTGCCTCTGCCTAAGAGAACACCTCTTACCTTTCTCTCTGCCCTACCGCCTTTGTTTGAGACCATAGGTCGTGCTACCAGTCCTTGCCCTCCCCTTGGTTTGAGGCTGTGGTACTGCTTGCCCTCCTTCTCCGGCACTGAGTGCTGATGGTGTCCTCACCTCTCACTGTCTTCTGGGATTCTGGGTACTCAATGCACTCCTGCTTTTCCATCTCTAACAGTTCACCTCTGGGGAACGGAGGAGGTTGCGGCCTGGCTTGAGCATCTCAGTCTTTGTGAGTATAAGGATATCTTCATCCGGCATGACGTCCGGGGCTCTGAGCTCCTGCACCTCGAACGGAGGGACCTCAAGGTACTTTCATGATCAGCTCATGAGAAATAGCCAGCTGCATCTGCATGCCCTTCTGTGCTGAATGTGCTTGGAAGTGGTCTGCCCGCTGTTCATTCCATGTGCCTTGGCAAGATGAACGGGTTCATCGTGGCCCTGTTTTATTTTCTCACCATTTCACGTCACCTGGTTTTTAATAGCAAGGAGGTATAACAGCTAGTTGAGTGACCAGCTGTCCAGTTCTGACACACCTTCCTGGAGTTGTAATACAGTCCAGCACACAGATTGCAGATAGTGTTCTGGAGAGTCTCCGATTTTAATGATGGAATAGAAGTTTTCAACTTGGCGGTTACCATACCATCTTTGCAGAACGTGATGTGATTGCGAGAGTTTGGTTCTTGTATTGTAGTGGCTGAACAAATAGATCATCACAATTCTGTGTTACAAGAGAAAAAGGTTTGTGGTCTTTGATGAGGCTGCTAGGTGGGGAGAATCTTTTTAAATAGTAACGACATTGCACAACTTTTAATCTCCTCACCAGGAGATGCTTTCTCTACAGAGAAAAATTGAAAGTGGTGGTTCTTTGCCTGTGCATGAATAAATCTTTGCATGATGACTTGTGTCATCATTCTGGTGAGTTGCCTATAGCCGAAAAATACTTTGTTGTAAAGTAATGCATGGCATTTGTTGAATGCCCCTTGGATCTTCATTTGTGATTTTGACCATCTTCCTGTTTTGAGGTTGCCGTAGTCCATGTAGCTGACTCCTCTGCATGCCATCCAGCTACAGCCTGTGTTTTGTTGCATGGTACCCAAGTGTTCACACATTTATTTGATGTGACTGGTTGGTTCTTCCTGCATGTTTTGGCTTCTAGCTGAGGTCCTCAGGATTCTGCTCTCTTGCTTTGGCCTGTAACAGGCACAGCAATTTGCATTTCTGGCTAATGGTTCGCAGTTGTTTTCTCTCCATTGCTCTGTGTTCACCCTATTATGCTCTGATGGCTTTTCGAGACGTGGTTTGAGGTTCCATATATAACCATCAGGTTTGTGCTCTTTGTGGTTGGTTTCCTCCTCTCTTTGTAACTGGCTGACTACTTTGCAACCATTGCTTGGCCACCTGGAATTTCCCACCTGCTTTTCTCCTGAAGTATGGTTTTCTCTTTTCTGCCAGGATCTGGGTGTGACCAAAGTGGGTCACATGAAGAGGATACTGCACGGAATCAAGGAGCTGAGCCGGAGTACTCCTGCCAGCGAGGTTTAGCCTCTGTTTTCGCAGCGTGCGTCTACCCCTAACTGCACAGCAGTCACCTCACAGAGCAGATGTGCTCGCAACTGTCTCCGCTGAACAGACGAGATTTAGCTGTTCGGAGCTCATATCAACCAAGCATGGTGCTACCTTTTTTTCCTGTGGGGTACGGCTGCATCCTGTCGAGAGGCACTTTACCTGCGGTCAGGCAGAGCCTCTTGGAAGAGAACTCACTTGCTATTTGAAGAACCATGTCCTCCGACATGGGAAGTTGTGGTTCCAGTGACAGTGCAGGACTCCTGAGAATTGCAACACAGCTACCTTTACTGGATAACTTCATCACAGTATAATTTTTCAGGGCAAAAGATGTATTGGCCAGTCTTAGTCCAGGAGCATCTGACCGTCTTTGCAGACCCAAAACTTTCCCACTCATCCATGTGTCACACCTGTATCATAGAGCATCCCTTGTAATGCACCTGTAGTTGCATGTGATTTGCATCAGAAATTCAAAGCCAGTACAGACCTCTTGCTGATGAATACCCAGTGATTTTCACTCACTTATGCCTTGCAACAAACAATGCATGTGGTTCAAGCAGCAGTTTGCACCAGCTTGCGGGGTCTTCCGCTGGACCTGGTTCTCCTCTTCCAGCCAGTGGCAATGGTACAACCTTTAGGTGTTTAGGCGTCACAAACAATTGCTCAGAAATTCCTGGCAGTAAGAAAGGACAAAATTCTGGAGAACCAAAAAGTTAAAGGAGGTCAGGCCTGACATCACTCCTTCGGGATTCGTCTTCAGGAGATCAGGTGAAAGGGAGGAGCTAGCTCTTTATTTGAGAACTAGCTGTTCAGGCTGTGCAAGAAATGTAGTGTAACGGAGTGAGATGTGGAACAATTTGCTTCGTCTTGGTGGGGGCAGCAGCCTGACTGGCAAGGGTCAGCAGCGGCTTCCTACCGGTTTAGTGTCACCTTCACAGCCACAGACAACAGAACAGTTTCCTTACTTCAACTTGCAGTGCAGAAAAGTATTTCTCACAAAAGATGTGATTTTTCTGTAATACTTGCATCTTTTCACCTGTCTCGGTTCTAGTGGCTTTTCCACCTTGTTTCTGTGTCTTGCTGCCTTGCTCCTTCACTCCAAGGTGGATACCAAAAGATTAGGGTGGCTCAATCCTCCTGGGTCTTACCCCTCAGAGAGATACCGTGTGCTGCCAAACATCAGGGCTCACGTAGAGCACCAGGAGGATTGCTACCGAGCAGATGAACATTGTAATGAAAACTGGAGTATATTGGTAAATTGCCTTTGGTACCACCAGCAGTGGAGCATGGAAAAATTAGTGCCTCTGAATCAAGAGTTCCTAGATGGCCTTCAAATTTCCACTGTATTGCCTGACCCCAATCGGGTGACTGTTAAAGCTCGAAGACCAGCCTGCATAGTTATATTACCATGTTTATCATTGCGAAGGGAATTTGGGAACATTCAGTGCTGTAAAGCTGGTGAAACAGATAATTACTTTGTTGTTTTGTATGTATTTATTTTTTTATTACAAAGTGGCACCTGTCTGGCGATGGCTGCAGACAGAAAAATGACCACACACACAGTGGCATAAAAAACGTAATTTCCTGAGGACATTGTTCTTCTCTGTTATTTGTAAGGATTTTATTAAATTGACATCAGCTCTCCAGCCTAGCAACAATCAGTCAACTTATTTTCTGTAAAGACTTGTCAGCTTTAAAAGGTTACGGGCTGATTTCATGCTGGGCAAATTCCATTGCATTTTTTTTAAGATTTCACCAAGGATTATTCTGGCTCTTCCTATCCGTTTTTAACTAACTGTCCTTCACTCACATGTTTCCTCTCAGCCTAGCAAGCAACAGGGTTTGCTCATGAGAAGTTAACGGAAGACTACACCTGCTTGATCCAGCTAGCAGAATTTCTGCTGTAAATACTGTAGGGACTGAGCAAGAAATATTTTCAGCTTTTTCCTGAATTTGTTTCTCCTGTCTGTGCGTTGGCACTTGCTACCATAGCCACATTTTTTCTTTATCAGTACGCCCCACACACACTGTACTGGATTCCTGATGTATCAGATGAGTAAGAGTTGTAGACATACTGTATTTTCCCACTTGCTTGTTGAGGCACAGAGCTGCGTCTGCACAAGAATGAGGAGAAGCCTCCACTAAGGAGAGCTCCAGGATGCAGCTGCCCGTGGTGGTGACAGTAAGGAGCAGCCAGGAGTGTGCACAGTTAGGACATTCATGTCCCTGCCCGGGAGAGCGCAGAAGGGAGCACGAGGCAGGTGATAACTCTGGAGAAGAGGTGAGATCTGTGCTTGTTCCTGGGCATGGTGAAGAAGCTGTTCTTGCTGTGAAGTTTCTCCTGGCAACCTCATGGTTAAAGATCCATAGACAAGTATGCACTCATCTTGTTTTCGTAATTCCTGGGGCATTAAGCTCCTCTCTGCTTTTCCTGCTCAGAATAACAGGGGAATCCAAAGAGTTAAAGATTTAGGCATAGTTTGTGCCGTATCTGCCAAGGTCTCACGGCCATTAGCCATCTGCTGTGAGCAACAATGCCCACGCAGGCTAATCTTCATTTCTTTTATGATGTGTTACGTTGATGGATTCAGATCCTTTTCGTGTACGTGCACATTTTATCAAAGAGTTCATAGCCAATGTTGGTTACCAGAGGCGGGGAGCGAGTTCTACCTTCTCTTTAGAGCAAGAAAATGGGATCCACATTTAACCGGAGTGCCTTTGAGTATGTATTGAGGTTTAGATCTAAGAAAAGGATCGGAGCTCTATGTGTCTCACTGGGAATAATGCAGATTTCTGTTGCGGAGATTTTTGTGAATAGGTGAAGACAATTCAAGTCAAACATTGATGAGAGCTACCTGCAAAGTAGGGAGCCAGGCTGAACTTCTGGCTACATTATCCCAAGTTTCTCTTCTGGCATCTGGTGATTTTTTGTGGGAGAGAAACTCAGGGAAGACAGTTAGGAAAAAAATCTGCTGCTTTGCTTAAGAAGAGACTTCCCTGCAGTCTCAGGTAAAATATCAGCTTGAGAGAAGCTAGAACTGCACATATCGCGCCTAAGTTTAGTCTTTTAAAAACTGCTGCTCCTGTGAAAGCCTTGCAGCACCTTCTGTTTATCATCCCTCACCCTTGGCAGTGTCTGCAGTGAGCTGGGCACGCAGCTTCCTTCTGCTAGGAAGAAGAGGTTTCAGTACGTTATCTCACATTCTGGCACTGCCCTGAATATTTAACTTTAACAGCGAGTTCTGGGGAATAACGTACCCCGTGTTGGGATGTTTTGGTAAGTGGGATTGCATGCAATGGAGACTCGGGGGAGATTTGACCCATGAAGCAGTGATCAGCAACATCCTGCTCTGTCCGGGAGGGATGTTAGCACCAGCGCAATCTTCCTGGTTTTGCTTGTGGGACCTGAGCGCCGAGAGGCTGCGTCCCCAGCCGCGGCGGGAGCCGGCTCTTTGCAGCACTGGGGAGCTGCAGCGCTTGGTGCCTGGAGGTGCCGGCCTGGCTGGGGCCACCCAAGAGCCAGGAACTGGGGAACCTCCAACTCTCCTGAGGCCTTCAGTGCCAGTCCTGGGAATGCTTCTGCCCCCAAAATGTGTGGAAAGCTTTGTTCATTGTTTTAGTATTATTTAAAAATGTGCATACTATCTATGTGATTTAAGAAAAGACTGTTTACACGATTTTTTTTTTGTATCTTAAGATGTGCGTACTGTAAAAAGAAAAAAAAAAAGGAAAGTATGAAAAAAGATGTTTTTCTACAACTGTCATCAGTGACTGCATGTCTATATCATCGTCTACCAACCATTGTTCCTCAGGGGTCTCCCCGCCATTCCTGTGATCCTGTCAGAAGCATAGGGAAGCACATGAATCCCTGTGCAGTCTTGGGAAGGAGGTTTTGTGCCTTAAGAATGGGACCTGCTTCCCTCCTATTTATTGTGTTAATTTATACAGTGATTACCATGGAAATATCTCTTGTAATTTTTTTGTATATAGTTTACTGTTGATTGTTGTAAATAAGTTTTTCTTGTATATAAAGTAAACATGTTTCTGAGCTTCCAGTAAAGATTCTCTGTTACTGATTTCATTGTGTGAGGGCTGCGGTGCCCATCTGGTGGGAACCAGCTAATAAAAATCTTGTGCTGTGATGAAGTGGCTTTATCCTGAGTTGCATCAGAAGTTCAGAGCTGGTCCTTAGGGAGGAGTGAAATGGTAAATGTCATTGTTGTAGATTAGTTTTGGAGCATTGCTTTGCATTGGTTTAAGTAGCACGGAGTAGAGGACATCTTGTTTATTTATATTGGCTATAATAGAGAAGAGATGTTTTAATTTTGGTGGTTCTACTGCTGCTCATCATGATCTTGAATCTTCATCTTATCTTGAATCCTGGTCACAGCTAGATGGGAAGGCACTCTCAGAAGCCCAGTATACAATAACTGGAACAAGTGAAAGTGCATTTACAAATATATGGGAGAAGTTAATTTACTCATGAAATGTAAGAATTGACTGCCATAAAACGACGCCTGTAAACTTGAAACTAAAAGATTTGGAGATGTTTGAGTGAACAGTCTGTGGATCAAATTGTGATAAGCTTTTCCTTCCATCTCTGCAGATTGATGTGTTCTTAAGCTGCTGACAAGAAACTTTCAGCAGATTAATTTGAACTGAGAGGGTGGTGGTACAGTTCCATAGTACTGTTGCAAGTAAATGGAAAATAACTTATAATGGTTATGAATATTTTCTATGTGAAAAAGACCTCTGTGCTTGATAGTTAAACTGAAGGATTCGCTATCTTTGTGTGGAGGGAATAGTTTACGTGACAAAAACATAAGAAACCATAGTTACCTTATATAATGTTGCAAGATGAAAATAGTAAAATTGATCATTAAAATGTTAGTTATCTATCCCTAGTAGTAAGGAGAAAAGAAAAATCATTGCCTTTGCTCACACATGCACCAGACTTGAGTGTCAGGCTTTGCATGAAG